AACTGTGGATATTCTTTTTGTCCATATTAAGTGTTGAATTCTATCACTTTGTCAACTTCAATGGCAGAGACTCCTCCTACCTGGTACAGGGAGTTATTTGTGATGCTTCCTCTGGTGCCAGGCACTTATTACCAGACAGAACACACCATCAGCCATTCACCATGTCCACATGCCAAACAGAAGAGACATGCTGCATTCAGGGACCACAGAGAAAGCTACAAATAGCACTAATGAGTATATTGGGAAAACATTTCTGTCCTTGATGTGGATAAGGATATAAAATATATGGCCTGTTATATACATGAAGTATTTTCCTAATCAGGCATGCCAGACTACTTGAGTCTAAGCCCTGGTCTACACTACGAGTTTAGGTTGAATTTAGCAGTGTTAGGTTGATTTAGAATCATAGAATATCAGGGTTGGAAGGGACCTCAGGAGGTCATCTAGTCCAACCCCCTGCTCAAAGCAGGACCAATTCCCAACTAAATCATCCCAGCCAGGGCTTTGTCAAGCCGGGCCTTAAAAACCTCTAAGGAAGGAGATTCCACCACCTCCCTAGGTTGCATTCCAGTGCTTCACCACCCTCCTAGTGAAATAGTGTTTCCTAATATCCAACCTAGACTTCCCCCACTGCAACTTGAAACCATTGCTTCTTTTTCTGTCATCTGTCACCACTGAGAACAGCCGAGCTCCATCCTCTTTGGAATCCACCCCTCCGGTAGTTGAAAGCAGCTATATTTAAAAACAATTTGCTGTGAATAGTCATTTTAAACCAGGAAGCTGAAGAGTTCATGTTTCCAACATGTGTGTCATATCCAGAGCTTTTAGACGTTTTGGAGGGAGGCAGATGATATTACAGAACTGAAGTTAAAATCCCGAGCATGAAGAGGGAGACCTGGGAGGAAGTGAAGACAGAGTTCCTTTCCTCTGAGCTGGCAAACTAGAGGATACAGACAGTCAATGACTTTTCCCAAAAGGCCTGAGGGAACTCTTATTGAAGGTTATAAAAGTATTTGCTTATAGCAGGGGAAGGCAACTGGTGGCACGCGTGCCAAAGGTGGCACATGAGCTGATTGGTCCTGGCCACTGCATTTTAGTTTAATTTTAAATGACGCTTCTTAAACATTTTAAAAACCTTATTTACTTTACATACAACAATAGTTTAGTTATAGATTATAGTTTTATAGAAAGAGACCTTCTAAAAACGTTAATATGTAAACCTTAAATTACAGTGAATAAATGAAGACTCAGCACACACCTTCTGAAAGTTGCCGACCCCTGGAATCAGTAGAATCAATGGTAAACAAGTTTAAAAAAAAAAATTTTTAGAAGTACCGCCAACTGAGTTAGGCAACTCCTAACAGTGACCAGTACAAGGCAGACATTTGCCTCTCATAACACATTTCTTCAGATGTTCATTGGTTTGAGGTGAGGATGATGGTGGACTGGGTTGTTGGCCTTTTGAAGCAGGGAAGAAGAGCTCATATTATTTTGAGGAAATGCCTTGATACAGGTAGGACAAAGAACTCACAATAGATTGTGCTCTTCTAACAACAAACCTTCCAGCCTTCATTAAAACCCAGGCTGCAAACAATGATGCTAATTTAGCAGACTAATCTGAGTAACCAGGAGTTTCTATTTAAAGATATTACCATTTAGAATGTCCTCATTGGGATTTAACCCTGCACCCGTCCACTTGACCAAGCCTGTTTTGTCGACTTAAAGGTCTCTTGAAATTGATTTTTGTACTCCTCCCCGGCGAGGGGTTTAGCGCTAAAATCAACTTTGCTGGGTCGAATCTGGGGTAGTGTGGATGCAATTCGATGGTATTGGCCTCTGGGAGCTATCCCAGAGTTCTCTATTGTGACCGCTCTGGACAGCACTCTCAACTCAGATGCACTGGCCAGGTAGACAGGAAAAGACCCTGGAACTTTTGAATTTCATTTCCTGTTTGGCCAGCGTGGCGAGCTGATCAGCACAGGTGAGCATGGAGTCCCAGAATCGCAAAAGAGCTCCAGCATGGACCAAATGGGAGGTACTGGATCTGATCGCTATATGGGGAGAAGAATCCATGCAGGCAAAACTCCATTCCAGAAGACGAAATGCCAATATATTTGCCAAAATCTCCAAGGGCATGATGGACAGAGGCTACAACAAGGACACACAGCAGTGCTGCGTGAAAGTTAAGGAGCTGAGGCAAGCCTACCAAGAAACAAAGGATGCAAACGGTCGCTCTGGGTCAGAGCCCCATACATGCTGGTTCTATGATGAGCTGCATGCAATT